GACGCAATAGCGAAATCCTCAGAAATTAGATCTTGAGTTACCCTCACCAACCCATTCATCTTCCAAAAACAGATTCTGTCACCCTTACCCACCTTCCACATTGTGCACTCAAGAAATTTGTGTTTCTCCATACTAATTTTCTTCCATAAACCCATATCATGTGGTCTATTCAAATCCTTGACTTCCTCACCCATTTCCCCCATATCCTAACGAGCCTCCACAAGCCTTTTCCACAATCTCCTATCCTCCCTCATATTCACCTCTTTGTATCTAGACCCTGAAGGAATTCCAAGATATGAACATCTTTGCATCCCAGCACCCCTGCACGTCCAACCTCATCTCTTCTGTCACCAACTCTTACCAATTCAGATTTTTTCAAATTAATAGTCAATCCAAATACGACCTGAAAGCATAAGAGAATGCATCAGAGATGAAGCATCATTCTTTCCCCAATTGACAGAAATAAGAGTATCATTAGCAAAGAACAAATGAGATATCTCAACCCTTGAATCACCTCTGCCGACATTTACCCCCTTGATCAAATTTACTTCTCTAGCTCTCTCCAGTAGTCTACTAAAAGCCTCCATAACAATGATAAATAAGAGAAGAGAAAGAGGATCACCTTGATGAAGGCCTTTGGTTGCCTTGAAGAAAGAAGAAGACCATCCATTAACCATCACAGCAAAAGAAGTCGTGGTAATACATGTATTCATCCACTTCCTCTGCTTATTCCCAAATATGAGCCTTCCAAGCATGTAATCCATAAACTTCCAATTCACATGATCATAGGTCTTCTCCATATCTAGTTTACACAAAATACCTTCTCTCTTGTTGCTTACCAGATCATCCACCACTTCATTAGCCACCATCACAGCATCTAAAATCTATCTCCCTTCCACAAAGGCGTGCTGACTCTCACCAATCACCTACCCAAGTACCTTCGACAAACACCTAAACCAGCACCTTGGAAATAAGCTGGTAAACACATCCCACAAGACTAATGGGATGAAAATCTTTTATTTCTTTTGCCCTCTCCACCTTAGCAATGAGAACAGGCAGAATTGAGCAACATCACAAAAGAACCCGACTCATACAATTCCTTGAATACAGCAAGCAAATCTACTTTTATAACATACCCAAACTCCTGTAAAAATTGCGTATTAAAATCATCTGGTCCTGAAGTTTTGTCACCATTATAATCCTTGGGGCCATCTAATATCTCTTCGTCCGCGAATTCTCATTCTAATTCAGCTCTACTATTCTCACTCAACTACCTAACTTTTAAATTATCAAGTCTTGGTCTACTTCTAACCTCTTCCTCATACAGTTGTTGGAAGTAACCACAGGCTTGTTCTCTCATGTCATTATTCCTCTTGATAATGTGACTGCCAATAAGTAGCTCCTCAACATAACGACATCTTCTATGAATTGCCATGCACAGGACATATCTAGCGTTGCGATCATCTTCCTTCAACCACCTCTCCCTCGCCTTTTGCTTCCACAAAATTGCCTCCATATGCATTTTATTCACCACCTCCCCCTTCAGAAACTCTCTTCTGCCCAGATCAGTCACGGAAAGAAACCACTCCTCTTCCATCTTATCAATTTCTTCTATTTCCTTTAGGGATTCTATTAGTACACTCAATTTTTCCTTCATCCTTCTTTGCCCACTTTTTAATCTTGGCCTTTAGGGATATAAGTTTTTTGTTCTAATTATAGATATTATATTTCATAAGATTGTAAATTTTTTATATAAGTTTCATTTTTTTATACTAAAAGTTAGTATTATTTAAGATAAAATATCATTTTTATATTTTATCTTTATAATCTTTTTGATAATTATATATTTGCAAATCATCTCCAGGCAAAGTTACCATAAGTTATGCTACAGTAATAAAAAACCTGCTACAGCTATAAACAGTTAAAACAGCATAAGTTCAGCCCAAACAAAAGGTACCAGTACCTTGAAAGCACACCATTGACCCAGTTCAGCAAGTGCATAATTGATAGCTCTCAATTTTTGAACCAAATTAGCAGCTCCATCACTCTCTGTTCGTTCAGAGACACCATAAACTTGGCGTAACTCTTCTTTGGCTCCTGCATCTCTTGCTCCCATAAATTGCCATTTACTCCTTTTAGAGCTTGATTGTGCAGCTTCCTCAACTGCTACTTCCATTTGCTTTATTTGTTCATGAAGAGACCACAAGGTAGCAGCTTTGTCATACTCCACAACAATTTCTGAAGGCATTGGGACATGCTTTTCCAGCTCCTTCCTGTCTTTTATTGTACAAACGATGGAATCTAGTTTGCTCTCAAGATTACGAATTTTCATTGCACAGTCGACTTGACTTGAAACACCTGAATGTAATAAATTATCAACAGAAACAGAATATCAAAAGATATAAGACACAGATGGTTCTGCACATAAATTGATGCCTGTTTAGCCAAGCTTATGCTTGTGGTCCGACTGCTTAAAAGTGCTTCAAGAACAGCTTAGGTAAAAATAAAGTTAAATTATACATCATTTGATAAAAAAAAATTGCATATAAGGGTTGATATGTGCTGTAATGGTTATTGTGTTTAGTAAATCATGATCTAAAGTTAGTGGCAGATGGTGAAATTATTAAAAAATAATAATAATATAACAATAAAAATTACCATTACAAACAATTGTTATTACGAACTTTTTCTTGAAATTTCTCCCATTTTAATTATTTTTGAAATTTTTAGCTCTATTTTAATATGCACTTTATTTACTTTACACTTTTACTATTTTATTTTGAATATTTGAATAATGTATGACAAATAGTAAACTACTAATAGTGAATTAGTAAGACACTTTATTTTTAAAAATATTAAACATACGAATAAACTAAGTGTAGAATTGATAAAGACATGGTGAGCAAAAGTCATATATCATAAACATAAGTCATGGTAGAATTAACAAAGACATGGACACTATTTATCTATTTAAAAGTCATATCTCATATGCATAGGTCATATCTCCTAAATATTTATCTTTAGTTTCTGAAGTTACCTTTATCAAAAGTCAAATTTGGCCATTAAAATCACTTCTACGCTAGGCATTTTGCTAAACTTCTCTTTCACAACAAAGCACAATCTTAGCCAACAAGGGTTTCAACCATTCTATACATTTGGAAAAGAAAACCTGGTTTCATAAAATAAGTATGTACCCTTTTAAGTTATTTAAAAAAATAATAATAATAAGTACCCTTTAAGTTAACAGGTGAAGCCGTCATTCCAAAAACAGTTGGTCTTTTCTCCTTTGGGGTAGTGTGATAGAACTCAGACATCACTAAAGAATATGGATGTTTCTTAACAGCATGATGGCACTCATCCAGAATAAGGAGATCAATGGCTTCCATTTTAATTATGCTGTGCCTCAAAATGTTTAAAAGTATTTGGGCTGTCATCACTAAAACCTGCAACAATGAATAATGTAAAAGAAAAGATTAAGCACATCATCTTAAGCTACTAGATCACAGAAAAGAGTACGCCAAAACAATGTATTTATGTTTTGCTACCAAATTTACGATGGAATAGCAAAAACACAAAAGCAATGATGACAAAAGTTCAAATGATAAGATATGCAGAATATCAAGACACCAACCAATTTAAAAGAGAATGCATAATCAAAATTGACCTGAATTATTAAGAGATGTATGAAAATTTGCAGCCATAAAATGAAGCCGCCAGGATCAAACTAAATACAAAGGCACCTATCTAAGTGAACAACAATCAAAAACCAAGCTACACCTGATGAGAGCAGGTTCCAGATACCATCTGCCAACTGTTTTCATGAAAGTCAAGGGCATCTCTAAATGACACTTAAGATCACTATCCCCAGAACGAGAATTTTCTTCATCCTTTCCCTTTATTCCTCTCCAAACATATCATTCACCGGTAGCAGGAATATCATTAATAGTACTAAACCAGAACTGCTACTTCCTTCCCAGAACCAACCAAGATTGAAATGATCAAAAGTGTAAAGGAAATCTCAAAAACATATCCTCAGAAACAAAAAATGAATATGGGTAAAGCAAGAAAGAGATGATATGATGCAGGATAAGTGAGCAACTGAATCACCTGCAGGCCTAAATGCACATCTGTATCACCAATGGCTCTCAACAAGTAGAGCACACAACCACTCACTTGAATTCATTCCCTCCTAAACCTCCACAAGAAAAAGTATCTATCAAGTGGAGGAATTCTCTAACAAATAAAACATCATAGTTTGGCAAAGAGAAATAAGTTTTTCAGATTCACCATTTATTAATGAACACAGTCCCATCTCAGTAAACAAAGAGATTATTGTTATCCCTCCCTCGAAACCTAGAAGGCTAAGTGATTCACCATTTATTGATGAATAATTAGAAAATGCTTTTGGGAAAGTATGGCCAATGTGTCAATGGTTCTTTAAATTGAAACTTAGAGATTACAAGAACTGATTAACTGAACATAAATTATCACTTTTTAATTGATTTAGAGAGAGATAATCAATGTGAGGAAGGACAGAATGTGCCAAAGAACTCACTAATCAGATAAGTCACCTCACTCTTTATTATCTTAGTGACATAAAAGACAGGTCAAGAAGGTGATTTTGTATTGGAATAAAATTAGTCTAGACAAATACCCCTCTCTTGTAATCAACACCACCTATTTATCTAGCATGTCTATGTTAGGACATTATGGGATTCTTGGAATGCCGTAAAGAGCGCATTTTACAAACTGAACATAGAGTAGATTGGGTTCAACTCTAAAACACTCCTTAACTTCTTTTTACTCTCAATATCTTGGTGTTTTTTTTTTTTTTTTTGAAATAAATATCTTGGTGGTTTTTTCATAAGATATGAACTTATTTCGCTTTTTCTTCTCTCATATTT